GAGGGGCCGTTCCGCGGGAAAAGGGAGAGGTTTCGGAGGCCGTTTTTGGTCACCCACCCTTGCCGCGCTTGGTTCCGACCACGCTGGAGCCAGGTTTTGGAGTCCGGGGCCGAGGCCGGCGGTGAAGTGCCGTCCCCGGCGTCCCCCTCCGGAAGCAGCACGTGTGGGTGGGGGGCTCTTCGGGGAGGAGCCGGCGCGGCGAGCGCTGCCGCGGCCCTCCGCCTCGTGCCCCAGCGGGCCGCACGACGGGGACGCTTCGTCTTACATCTGGTCAGCAGCCAGGCGGGCGGCGGCGTGGACGCCAGCGACGCTGATCCCTAGAGCGAGCCCCATCTCTTGCCACCGGGTTCCTGAAGAGCCCGGCCCACGGCCTCGCCAGTCGTTGAGGGTGGAGGTGGGGCCTGCAAGTCCGGACTCTCCCTCTCACCCGGGCTCCGCTCACGGCCACCCCGCGTCGACCCGCCGGCCCCCGCGATCCCCCTGCCTCAGCCCTCCAAGGAGCCGGATCCCGGGCACGCGCTTCCGCGCCCCGCTAATTTCGGGGTTTACTGCAGAGCCACGGTCTCGCCAAGTTGCCGGGCTGGCCTCGGCCTCCCGAAGTGCTGGAGTTGCAGGTGCGGGCTGCCGTGCCTGGCCTTAAAACTTGTCTTCCAACACATTCCCTCCTCTTTGGAGAAAGAAACGCAGGAATTACGGTTCTGAGAAGCCCTTCCTGTCACATGGATGGAAGCCGAGGGAAGAGCCCCGTGTACAGGGCCCGACCGAAGAGCCGCGGGCTGAATTCATGTGCTGATACAGCCGCTACTAGTGACACCCACCATCTGAGTTGTTTGTTTACACGGACGAATGGAACCGTGGGGGAAGGTGGGGCTTATTACAGATAATGTAACTCCAGTATCAACAAGAGGTTCTGTTTGTTCTCCATTTACTGAGTCGATGCATACGTTCGTGGCATTTGTTTTTGGCGTGGCAAGACCGTGGTGTTGGGAGTTTGTGTATCGTTTGTTATTTGTCATTTGTCGTGGCAGTGTTGTGCTTGTGAATGTGCCTTGCATTTTACAGATTTGAAGAAAGTTGGTGCTATTTGTGGGCTAAGTCAGCTGGAGTGTCAAGTGGAAAATTGAACACGTCCGACATACTCTTCTGTTTTAGTTTCACAGAGGAGTAAAGGCGGCCAGGTGGCTTGAAATGTCTGTGCTAGGCGGGGCTCGGTGGCTCAGCCTGTAATCCCGCGCTTTGGGAGGCCGAGATTGAGTGGATTGCCTGAGCCCGCGGGCTCGAGACCCACCTGGGCAACTTGGCGAGACCTCATCTCTACAACAGACCAAAAAATTAGCCGGGCGTGGTAGCGCGCGCCGGTAGTTCCAGCTACTTGGGAGGCTGAGGCGGAAAGATCGCCGGAACCTAGTGGCCACTGCACTCCGGTCTGAGCGACAGAGTGAGACTTCAACTCAAAAAAAAAAAAAAAAAGGTTTGTGCCGTGTATGTGGAAAATGCCACTGGGGAAAGCAAGAAGTTGGTTTTGTCATTTCAAAGAGTAACACTTTGCCACGTTCAGGAACACTTTGCCATCTTCATCGGGCTTTGATGAAGATGGTTCAAACAGTTTAACTCACAATGATCCACGTCTGTCAGCCTGGGAATTGGCAAATGTAATGAACTGTGAACAGCCAACCATTGTGCAATACTTGCAGTCCATGGTCAAACAAAAACCACTATGACCTTGTGCTTCAATCCAATAAAATAATTTGTTTCTCCCCAAGTGTTAAGGAGGAAACGAAAGGCCCCTCTAAGTTCTTTGTAGTACCCCTGCTCTCTTTTCTCCCTTTGCCTGTTGTTCCTTTGGTTTCAGTTTCCAGCAGTCTTTCTTAAAGTGACCAGGTGGTTTTGCAGTAACTGTAAAGGGAAAGGTTACTTACGTCTACTCTGAGGTTCACTGGGGTGTTTGGGAGGTCTTAACAGTGGATGCCCCTTTACCTCTGGCGTCAGTGTCCTCCCAAGTGGGTTGCACGAACAGCAAGCACACAGGACACCCCTGGGGGTGGAGGACATCGGGATGTCTCATTTCATCCTTCTACGTTGCGCACATTCCTTTTCTTTTTTGTAGATAGTTGTTTTAGTCTTGCTCTGTTTCCAAGGCTAGAGTGCAGTGGCATGATATGGCCACCACAGCCTTGACCTGCTGGGCTCAGGTGATCATTCTGCCTGAACCACAGGCATGACCAACTCACCTAGCTAATTTCTTATTTATTGTAGAGACGAGGTCTCACCAAGTTGCCCAGGCTGGTCTCGAACCCCTGGTCTCAGGTAATCCTCTCACCTCAGCCTCCCAAAGTGCCAAGATTATAGGCTTGAGCCACCGTGCCTGGCTTGGATGACAGTTCTTCTTTCAGGTTTATTTGTCCTCTTCCTGGCAAAAAAAGTCTGGCTGCCTTTCTCTTGTAGTCAGTAGGAACGGGAGGCAGAGTCTAGAGGAGAAGGGAATGTATTTCTGCAACCAGGTCACAGGGAAAGGGTCTTAGTTGGTATTTATACCTACATTTTATTGCCCTTCACCCATGACCAAATCAAAATTAACATCAAAAGAAGAAGACCTGCTATTTTAAACAAGTTAGCTTGGTACCCTTAGATAGGAGAATCAAAACAATCAAAAGATGATCTGTTACTTCAAATAAGTTCCCTTGGTACATTTAGATAAACAGCTCAGAAACAAACGTGAAATGCAAGAAGTCCCTATTCCAGAGTCCTGGCCTATTACGGTCTGAATGTGTTTTTTAGGTTTGGAAAGATGGTGCCAAAAAAATATATACACTTTAACTGAATCCCTAGAGGGTAGTGCAGCAAGAGGGCATGGAAGCGTCACACTCCTCTCCGCATGCCTTTCCTAAGCTTTTCTTCCATCTGCCTGTTCATCTGTATTATATCTTTTATTAAATTGGGAAATGTAAGTAAAGTGTTTCTCTGAATTCTATGATCTGCTTTAATGAAATTAATAAAACCTGAAGGGGGGGCAGAGAAACCCCAATTTATAGTGGTTTGGTCAGAAGCACAGGCCACAACCCAGGGCTTGTGATTGGCATCTGAAGTGGGGGTCGTCTTAGGGGACTGATTGAATTTAATTCTAGGACACTCAGCTGGTGTCTGCTGGATAATTGCTTGGTATTTGGGGAAATCCCCCAGGCATCCAGCCACAGAAGCATTCTGTGCTGTATTGAGTAGGTGTGTGAGTAGGAAAAGCACATTATTTTATTTTGTTGTGTCTGATAGATTCTGTGAATGTATCTGGTCTCCAAGTTTTTTGAATTGTGCTTATCAGTAAAAAAATTTTGTGCTAAATTCCTAACACTGGATATGTACACAAACAGGCAGGGCTCAAGCCTGTCATCCCAGCACTTTGGGAGGTCGAGGCGAGAGGACTGCCTGAGCCCAGGGGTTCGAGACCAGCCTGGGCAACTTGGCAAGACTTCATCTCTACAATACACCAAAAAATTAGCTGGGTGTGGTGGTGCACACCTGTGGTTTCAGCAACTTGGAAGGCTGAGGCAGAAGGGTCGCTGGAGCCCAGCAGGTCAAGGCTGCCATGGTGGTGAGCATGCCACTGCACTCAAGCCTGGGTGACAGAGGGGGACTCCGACTCAAAAAAAAAAAAAAAAAAAAGAAATGTACGCAACATAGAAGGATGAAATGAGACATATAAACAGACGTCCCGATGTCCTCCACCCCCGGGGGTGTCCTGTGTGCTTGCTGTTCGTGCAACCCACTTGGGAGGACACGGACGTCAGAGGTAAGGGGGCACTGGGATCTGTGGTCAGGAAAGAGGCTCAGGATTTTGGGTGATCCCCATGTCTGAGATCAGACCTGAAGTCTGTAATAAAGACTGGTTCTATTTATGGAGCTTGTAGACAGCTTTTAAGCCTTACAGCACTCCTCTTCGTTTTCTGCGCCACCCTTAGGCAAGCGAAGAAAGCCTGGGTGCTCCTTTCTTTGACACCCTTGGGAAATCCAAACCACATGCAGGAACTATCATTCTGGCACTAGTCCCAACCACCTAAAAGTTCCAAGCCAGGCAGTCCCTTCAGGTCCCCTCCTTTCGGTCCTGTCAATAAATTCTGCTTTCAAAAAAAAAGAAAAACCCAAGCCAGTCTCCTTTCCTGGTCTCTCAAGCCATTTTTGGACCTGCTGTCTTCTCTTCCCAGAAAGCTTCATTTTGTGAATAACAAACCCTTTCCTAATTATTGGTGTGGGGGGGGGGCTTTAGCAGTGTTGACCTCTGAACTAATTTTGGGTGAGAAATGTATCCTCAGTGTAGGATGGCCACAGAAAAATAGCATTCTCCTTCATAGTCCATCCCCTGCTTGGTTTCTCTTCATAGCACTTAGTACCATTTGACGTATTTTATTGTTTGTCTTCTCCCACCAAAAAGATGTCCAGCATCTAGCGAAACGTCTGGCATAATCATCTGAGTGCCTACTTTGCTAGGTCCTGCTAAAGGCACTAGTGCTACTACAGTCATGAACTTGTGCCCTCATGGAGTGTACATTCCAGAGGGCAGGGTAGGTGCTCAACACAAAGCACATGTTAAAGAATATTAATATTACTTTTGTCTAGAATTAAGGTGCTAAAGTTAATATCGTATCATGAATATAAGTTTTTTATTATTTTGGCTTCAAAATAGTGCTTATTTAAAAATAACATTTAGGAATTTATACTCACAAGACATACTAACATCTAAAGTAGACAATCAAAAGACATTATTTGAAGATTATATGCTTAGTACAAAAGAGCACCTAAATTTGCATATTAGCAAGATTGGCATTAGCAAAGTTAGAAAGTTGATTTCTCGCTAATGATTACTATTAAAAAATTGAGGAAAATTTCACAGTAAATTTTACAACCAATAACATGAAGGCTAGTAGTCATGTTTAGCAATAGCCTGACTTATGAATTAAAGTACGCTCACTTCAGTGTTGTACTTTGATGCTATTCTTTTTCCTTCTCATCTTACAAATAACCAACAAGATATAAACTGCTTACAAGTGGCTATCCAAACAAGGGATCACGGATAACCAACTAGTTGCTAATGTTTGTGAAAGGCAAACTGCAAACTTGTATGGTTGAACTATCACCACAAGAGTAAAGGGCTCCCTCTACCACCTTGTTCCATAAAAAAAGTATACTCTGATCTCTAGAATGGATTTTTAAAATTCAGTACAAAGATTCAACAACTATCAACATTTCTTTTTTTTTTTTTTTTTGAGCCAGGGTTGCAAGGGAATGCAGTAACACAGACCATGGTTCACTGCAGACTTGACCTCCTGGGGTCAGGCAATATTCTGCCACAGCCTCCTGAGTAGCTAGGACTACAGGCGTGTGCCACCATGTCTGGCTAATATTTCCTAATATTCAGAAACATCCATTTAGCAGTTGTGAGACTAATTTTTAAAATTAAGTAATGTTATACAGATGTAAGTTATTACTATTAAATAGGAATGATTCCTGATCATGTTTATATTTGAGGTACAAACAGACTGATTTTGCTGATATTAGAGAAAGTTGGCTCAATAAATGTACATAAGAAAATTTTTTTTTTTTTTTTTTTTTTTTAGTTGGAGTTTTACTCTGTCGCCCAGACTGGAGGCAGTGGCCGCTCCCGGCCACTGCAACCTCGACCTGG